GTGTGTGTGCGTGTGTGCGTGTGCGTGTGCGTGTGTGTGCGTGTGTGCGTGTGCGTGTGCGTGTGTGTGCGTGTGTGTGTGTGTGTGTGAGTAGACAGACTGACTCTAAACTCAGATGAAGGATCAGTCTCGATGTTTCATACACACACAGAAACCTGTAAAATACACCAATAAAACACACACTATAGTCGAACAAATGTGCGTCATTATTGCTTGTGAATGCATTACTGTATATTGAGTTTGTTAACTAATTTTAGGGTTGCCCCAAACTGGGAAAAAGCTAATAATTAATAAAATTAAATAAATAAATGCTCAATTTAAGGCGAGACACTGCAGGTGAATAGGATAAAAAAAAAACTTACTTACCCAGCTGATTGATTACGTTGATAATTGCAAAAAAAAATTTGTATTACAAGTTTTCTAAAATATTAGGTTTAAATATGCAAATGAGTCATTATTTAATGAAATATGTGCTAATTTGCATACATTTCTAGTACCAAAATCTAAACACTGAATGATGTCTGTTTCAAAATTCTTGTTTAATTGTTTTTGACAAATTAGAGTCCAAAGTTTTTACAAAAGTTATCTCATTTTTATCACTCCAAATGCTTAGAACGGACAGAAAACACTATATTTTCACAATTTTGGTGGGGAATAAAACATTGTATATAATCAAGCAAATTATATATGAACAAATCGCTCTGTAAAAACCTTCAGGATATAGACTATAGGTATAAAAATGTAAAGTTTGGTGTGTACTGAAGTGGAGATTTATGGCTCGGTGTAGGAGAAAAAACTCACTTTGAGAAAACGGCCTTTAAAAATATGCATTGTAATTGAAATCTATTGACACAAATAGATAAAGTGCTATAAAAGAAACACTTAACAGTGTCTTCTGGATGTTTTCTTTCCACTAGTCTGAAAAAACACTTTATGAAAAGCCAAAAAGCCCAAAATCTCAAAATTGACGGGTGCATGAAAAAACTGTGTTTTTTTATATCCTAATGTTTTATAAATATCTATAAAATAACAATAGACAAAAAAAAAAGTCTGGGACTCTTTTGCTTCTACGTTCTCCGATTCGTCCAGGCATAGAAAACAGTGTGATTTATTATTAAACACATGCTGATGTTTTATTGCAGAACAGACTGTGAGAATATCATTGGCATATTTCTAAATCTCAGAGGTTTGACCGGTCAGAGTGTCTTCTGTTCTCTCTCCTGATTGGGTAATGTTTGTTTTATGCTAATTGTTCTGCTAGATATGTGTGTGTTTGAGGCTGTAATTTCAGTCTGAGATACAGGACAAAACATCATCCGCAGCAGACAGTAAGTTTATTTGATAATCATTGGTTTATTGAAATATTAACTTCAAGTGATTATTTTAGCTCAAAGGTGTTCAGATGGACAAAAAATCGAAATGCTTATGTTTTATTGTAGAGAGCAGACTGTGAGCATCTCAGATTAATATGAGGCTGATAATATTTTAATACAGCCAATATGTGACCCTGGAGCACGAAACCAGTCATAAGGGTTAATCTTATGAAATTGATATTTGTGCATCATCTGAAAGCTGAATAAATAATCTTTCCATTGATGTATGGTTTGTTAGGATAGGACAATATTTGAAAATCTGGAATCTGAGGGTGCAAAAACATCTAAATATTGAGAAAATCATCTTTAAAGTTGTCCAAATGAAGTTCTTAGCAATGCATATTCCTAATCAATACTGATGTTTGAGCAAAATATTATTTAAACTAAGGTGCTTTATTGGCATGACAAATATTTTTACATTCACATTGCCAAAGCATTTTTAGCTCTGCTGCGTACAGATAAAATAGTGCAAAATAACAATGAAAACTGTGTGATTTGCAGAGAAATCTAACGGAAAGACAGCAGTAAATGAATGGTGTGTGTGTGTGCAGTGTTCCTGCAGGATCTGGAGGGTGTGGGTTTGTGGTCTGCGGGAGTGTGTGTTGTTGTAGTTTACGTTCTGCTGGCAAACACAGATCTGTTTCTGACCAAACCGGACCGGACGTCTCTGGACAGACTGGCCAGCGCCGAGCTCAGATCCACCGCTGGAGGTCAGAGATCACATCTCATTCACATTACAGCCGGCCGTTCACAAATGTTACAGTTTATTTCAGCTGCTTTCACACACTTTCAAAACTTTGCCTCTTTTTTGAAAACTTCACACACAAATCCAAGAACTGCACACAAAATGCAAAAAGCCTCTCATCTCGTGCAAAACGAAGCACTGCGTTCAAAACATCTCAAACACGTCTCAAAAGCACACATTTACAAACAGCTTTGCCATAATATTAATTCCTGTTAGATGTGTGTGTGTTACATCGAGAAGTGTGTGTTGTGTTTTGCAAAAAGTGTTTTCTGAAAGTCAAAGTCTGAGAATCAGTGTCTGGTTTTGTAGGTTTGGTGTGTGCTTCTGCTGTTTGAGTGTCAGCTTTCAGAAACTGTGTGACACGTGAAGATGCAGTGTGGAAGCAGATGAAAACAACTGTAATGCATAAATTCTAATTTTTTTATTTGCATTCGGTGAAATATGATGCAGACATTTCTATGCCAGATTCACCTTGTGAATGTTCTTATACTTCAGTCTTCACAGCTTCTTTACTGTAGTGCATGTGGTGAAATTGCATGTTTTTAGTTGTTGATGCATTTGCTGTTTAGAGCAGTTCAACTGAACCTAGACATGAAATGAGGCTAAATTTGACATGCATCAATGCATGTGTGTTGTTTCTCCTCAGATGAGGCGAATGTTAAAGCTGTCTCTTTGTGGGAGAGAACTGGAGCCGTTATTATGGTGGTCAGACGGCCCGGATGATCTCTGTGCAGAGAGGTGTGTGTGTTTCTCATGTTATCATGTGTATATAATCACACACACACACACACACACACACTCTCTCTCACACACACACACACACACTCTCTCTCTCTCACACACACACTCACACACACACACACACACACACCCACACACACTCTCTCACACACACTCTCTCTCACACACACACACACACACTCTCTCTCTCTCACACACACACTCACACACACACACACACACACACCCACACACACTCTCTCACACACACTCTCTCTCACACACACACACACACACTCTCTCTCTCTCACACACACACTCACACACACACACACACACACACCCACACACACTCTCTCACACACACTCTCTCTCACACACACACACACACACTCTCTCTCTCTCACACACACACTCACACACACACTCTCTCTCACACACACACATCCACACACACTCTCACACACACACTCTCTCTCACACACACACACACACACACATCCTCACAGTGCTGTGTTTGTGTGTTTTGTGTCAGGAGGCGTCTGATCTCTCCTCTCTGAAGCCTCAGTTGGATGAGCGTGGAGTCATTCTGTTCGCTGTGGTCAAGGAGAACATCGCCTCAGAGATTCAGGACTTCAGAGCCTACTTTAACGGAGAGATCTTCCTCGATCAGCAGGTCATTGCTGGAGCTCCTTTCAACACAAACTCATGAGACGACACGCACAAAATAAAACGGTTGCAGTTCAACTTCTTAGGCTTCTTCAGGCATAATTCTCGTCTTGTTTAATTAGGAGTTTGTTTATTTGCTTACAATATTTGGTCACCACTCCTCAAATTTTATTTTGTAAATATATTTTATAAAATATTTATAATATTTATAAATTTTTAATATTTATATATAACATAATATTTATGTATTATAATATATTATTATATAAATTCTATAATTTAATTTGTATTTTATGTAATATTTTGTCATTGATTTTATATAAGTATATATTTACAGTGGGTACGGAAAGTATCCGTATAACACTCTTTGTTATATTGCAGCCATTTGCTAAAATCATTTAAGTTAATTTTTTTTCCTCATTAATGTACACACAGCACCCCATATTGACAGAAAAACACAGAATTGTTGACATTTTTGCAGATTTATTAAAAAAGAAAAACTGAAATATCACATGGTCCTAAGTATTCAGACCCTTTGCTCAGTATTTAGTAGAAGCACCCTTTTGATCGAATACAGCCATGAGTCTTTTTGGGAAAGACCCAACAAGT